TAGAAATTTCGCATGATTAGATCCAGTAGCAAAGGAGTTACGACTGAAAAGTACGGCTGAAGAACCATTTCACCGAAGACTTTTGAGCGCTACTGTAGCTTCGAGAAAGACATTCTTTGTATTAGGTTCACAGTACCACTTCACACTAATAACTCCATGTTGAAATAAGAGAGCCAGCTTGTACGAGATACTTCTCGTGTAGGTTCAATGTGCATAGTGTTACTATTTACAGGGTGCGCCATAAATATGGTAACAACTTTTCGAACGTGCGTAATTTCCTTGTTTGAAGAGTTTCTCCGGAACTGTACCTCCCATGATGTTCATGATATACCTTAGCCCACATATCTACATTGGTACCCTCAGCTCTTCAAATTCCGAAAAATGGTGGAGCCTCGCAGACATCCACCAACCGTTCCGTTTTTGCGCGCATTTGGTGAATCCATTCCCGGGATCGTTCCTTGTTCCAGCATTTCCCACATGGCAGTCTCTTGAATCGCGTAGCATAGACAAGTCAAAAACAAACCTCGAAATGGTCGTCGTGTCTCCTATACGACCCTTTTTCTGAATACAATTTCTTGGGAAGGAGCATGATGCAGAAACTGCAGAAACACGAGAAAAATGACTGCTGATTTGTTTGTATGTTCTTCTCAGATGAATAGAGTCTACCCTGAGTAAAAACAATTGTATCCAAACAGGATCCGAAAGCTTTATAAGCATCTTGACGAGAAGGAGTTGAAGAGAAAAAACGTTTGCTGTGCGCTATCGCTTCGACAAACTTTTTTTCTCACCAAACGCGTTTAGCGTGGAAGAAATGTTGAGATTTCAGAGTATACGCATATTTCAAACTACCAGTGCTGAAGCCGCTGAGAATAGTCAGATCCCTATCATAGCCATTTTCTCTCTTTTACAATAGTTTGGGCTAGAATCCCTACCATCACAACGATATCGCAAATTTTGGTCGAGAAAAGTACAAAACCTAATCCGAACCTCTTAAGAAGGGTTCTTCTGGAAGGATGCAGCTGAGGGTCAACGGTTTTTTTAGGGATACGACTTGGAAACTGCGACGCACTCGCTCACGAATGGGAAAAGATTAAGACTGGTGTTGAGGAGATGTTCGCGACTTAATCCCAGCTTGCAATCCTTCTACAAATTTCCCGGACCACAGTGTGATGGGTCTTTGAATATATTCCATGCTGGAGAGGAAAGCCTGCGCTTCAAAACGCACCACTTTGGCTGCTCCTAAAAAATCACTGAACAAAAGCCCGGGCTGGATTTTTTTAAAGAAGCTCTGCGTGCCTTTGTCGGTGAGTAGCCGGAGAATCATTGAGCTATAATTAGTACAGGTAATGATTATATAAAATGACGCTGTGTTTGTTCTGTAGGTGTGATGCACAGTGAATAATTCACAAAAATTGATCTGTATCAATATGAACTACGGTTTCTGGAGGCCAATATTTTTTTTACCATATTTATGGCGCACCCTGTATTCATTATCTGAAATGCTGGCTTATCTCAGATTGCATTGATATTAAGATGAAACAGTCATCGATATACCCACAGTACATTTCAGGATGCATTTTGAAATCGACACTTCGGTTTAAACTTCAAGGCAAAGAGCAAGAACCGGTGCAAGCGATTGACCTGTAACGTGACCTCTGATCTGGGTAAAGTGGTCACAAATCATTTAAGAATGTCGCAGGTTGAGCGTTCTTGAGCAACGTCATTACGTATGTTTGCCAAGTCCAAAGCTGTTAATATTATTACCTATCAAGCGTTTCGAGTGAGACCTAAGGACTGTATTATCCACTTGAGTCTCCTGACCAACCTTTCATCAATACCTGCAGATATTGCCGCACTCAACCATTTATGATTTGAGCGACTACACCGTAATTAAAGGTCTCTGTCAGCCACGCTAGAGTTCTAGTCTGAACGTTTCTCTGTTTGGAACGTATTTGGCTGAAGTTTATCTGTAAAGCCCAAATCACTTTTTTCAGTTATGAACACTTTTATGTAATCTACTGCAAATTCTGGGAAATTGATACGAACCACGACCAAATAGTTAGCAAAGCTGACATGAGAATGCACAAAGATGGTGGTATGTTTCTTAACATTTAGTACTCGGTTTTGTAAGTTCCAAACATTTCTAAGAATCACTGGCTTTCAAGAAAGAAGAAAGTCGGCTCGAAATGGTTCTTTGAATCTAGTCCATTGAGATAATGAGAATTCGAATTATCGTCCTTTCCAATTTCATTCTGCGCTGAACTAATTTGATTTGTTTGATCCAGTTAAGATGTGTTCTCGGTCGGATGGTGCTTTTGATTCAGCAATTACTGATCTCGTTCTTGATCGGATTTTCTCTCGTGCTGTACGAACCACCAGGAAGGATGCAATGAGTCTCATTGATTTTACCAACTTTCTACTTGCAGAGGAGGACAAAACTCACCCGACGAGGTGTGCTCTTTTAGTTGTGAGCCGTTCATGTGTATGATGAGGTGATCCTACGAACGATTTGTGTAATCGACCCACAATATTCAGCCTGGAGTACTGGTTCCGGGTTTTGGATGAAGATGGCGATGGAATGTTATCGATGTATGAAATGGAACGATTTCACCAACCGGTCATTGCAAAGCTCACCGAAGAAGGCATTGATTCGATGTCGTTCAGAGATGTGGCATGTCAGGTTCGTTGAAAAACTCGCATTGAAGTGAAATTTCAAATTAAGGGTACATAACGTTTACGGAATTCGCTTTCTGATGAACTCTGAATTTGTGTTCATTTCAAAAATTCAAGAGTGATATGACCGAGATGATTGACAAGACTGCAATGCAGAGGCCTGTTGGACCGCCGGGTTACTGTAGGCTTCCCTCTCACTGCATTGGGATACACGGTTGACCCTCCCATCAATTCCTCTCCCAGACAATTGACTCTTTTTTGATCACAACATTTCTACGGGAGAAAACACCCAATCCTCCCCCAATTATATGGGTGCTACGAATACGTCACAGGGCGCATTGACTCATCTCTTACGCTTCCTATTGCCATTGATCTTATTACAACCGTACGCTGAGAATTCAATCATTCTCTTTATCAAGTTTACTGAGGTACCGGAATTTTTGCTAGATAATTGCTGAGAGGACTGCTGGTAGGATAGGTTTGTTATAAATGATATTGGAAGAAAGAGATCACGTGGTCCCTTCTTGATTCGCGAACCCTGAGGAGTAGCCGTCAAAGTCACCAGTCTTCGTTTTCCTCATATGGCGCTAAGACTTCTCGGTGCTGATCAGTACCCCTACTGCTCTTATTCTGTTATCCTATTCTACCACTCTATGTAACGTTATCCTATGAAACATATCAAAATGTCATGAATCATATTCTAATCTTATTCTGTGACACATTGAAGCAGGAACGCTCCACCGCCATCGAAATGAAGATGTGGTCTAGAAATAAAAATGGATCTGTTGCTCTTAATCATGACAGTAATAAGTTAGACCACGAAATTTTCCAAGGGAAGTCACGGAGTTGGTGACTTTCCTTCAGAATTTTTTTGATCTAGATTGTATAGTCATGATGGAGAGCCTGTGATGAAAAATTCACCTCTACCCCTTCCCTTGCCTCTACCTACTTTTTTCCGCACCTTCAAACGTTCTGAAACCTGGATGTGAGTGTTCGATCTGGATTCCTTCCCATTTTGCTCCAACACGGCTGCGCAGATTTATTACTGTAATGGTCATTTTGCACACGCTCCGCCCCGCCCACCTTTCCGTCTTCGTCCTTCTACCTTCATAGCTTCCGTATTTAAGCGCTTCAGGTCTAAGGCAACATTTTTCCAAGCAGGCAGCATTTTCGTGTTCTCAGGCAAAGTATGGTCTTGTCACCTATTATTATTTTTCTATTTCGTCACCCGTATCACTTCCAATTTGCACGTTCATCTTTCCCTTCTCTATTGAGCGTTTCAGCTTAGGTGAAACACATCTTGCTACTTTCCACCAGTGTTCTCATCTTGCCGCCTGTTCCCTGACGAATTCCACGCTATACGTTCAAAGGAACTAGAGTTATGAATCTATATATTCAGCTATATATATCATATATACGTGTATGTGATAAATACAGTGACGCTCAAAAGTCTTTGGCCAAACGCTTTGACGCTTTTTAGTTTCTTCACTTTTCTTCATAACTTTTTTCTTAGTGGAGCAAATCGCGCAAAATGCCGATATGTTTATCGAAAGCATATTTCACACTATCATACTCTATTTGACTGCAAAGCATCAATGTCCCTGTAATTAAGAGCAAGATGTTTGTTGCGGTAGTGAAGTTCGCTGAAAGCGAGTCGGCGCCGTCTGCAGTCATCCACCTTACGCATGTTTTCCTTCTTCACTGTGTTCGGCATTAGCGCTCGTACACTTTTGACATGGCAAAAAGGAAGGAACTCGTAGTAGGACCATCATCCGTATTCCTAGTGATTTTGAGTTTAAGCTCTATGGGATATTTGGATCTTGATCAGATTGCGGGCTAATAGTAGTAAATATTCACAATACACCCACGTTACAAATATCGAAATTCCGCATGATTAGATCCAATGGGAAAGGAGTTACGACTGAAAAGTTCGGCCTAAGAAGCATTTGGCCGAGGACTTTTGAGTACTAGTGTATATCACATATATATATATGTATATATATATATATCCTTACTATATATAAACCGCAAACGTCCGTTTGTCTGTTTTTCTGTTTGTTTGTCTGTTTGTCTGTAACACTGTCTTATATGGTGCCGTTTGGAGATCAAGTGGAAGAGTTCAGACAGGTAGGAACAAGTGGGGAACGAGTTGAACTCATTGGGTACACGTGACTCAGGCTAGCCCCGCCCACCAGGGGCGGGGCGTCCCGTTAGGGGCGGGGCGTGCGCAAAAACTGTAGTTCAGCGGAATTCCGTAACTCCTCCCGGGCCTAGAGTATTCAAATTTGGCAGAGATGCAGGCGGCAAGATGGGAAAGCTAGAGGTAGGTGTCAGGTGTAGACTCCGCCCACTGGGGGCGTGGCTTTCTCGAGTATAGTAAGTTTGGTCCTGGAGCGTTCAAATTTGGCAGAGATGCAGGCGGCAAGATGGGAAGGCTAGAGGTAGGTGACAGGTGTAGACTCCGCCTACTGGGGCGGGGCCTTCTCATAAATGTTAAATTTGGTCCTGGAGTGTTCAAATTTGGTAGAGATGTAGGCGGCAGGAAGCGAAAACTAATGGTAGATGACTCCACCCACCGAGGCAGGGTTTGCGTGAAAATGGTAGATATTGACCTGCCTGTCACGACATAAATTTACATTACATTACATTCGACATTACAATATATTGGCCAACGAGATCGTCGATGCGTCGGCTATCAAATGCCTGCTGCGACGGGTGCGGATCAATTCCAAATTGTAAATAAACTCCCATTCCATCTCCAGTGAAATACAGGCATTCCACAATGGTAAGGGGTAAACAAGAAATTAACGATGGTATTTTTTTGATTTTTTTTTGGTTGCCTCAATCACAACATAAATAAAAGTATGCATATGGTTGCCAAATGCAGTTTGCCAGAGATGTGCGCTCCCATTAAACGGCTTATGACGCTACTATTTGGGGTGGAAGAACGGTACTGTTCAATTTTTTTGAAGAGGGTGGTTACGGTGTTGCCAAGACGATTACGCTTCGGGTTATCTTCGAGGGAATTCATTTATGAGAAGCCATTAGAAGCGCACGGTATAGTGCGCAGCCCACCTACTCTCCTAAAAAGACACAGATAAGTTGAGCAGAACCAAACTCATGATGGGCGAGGCGCAAACGTAGTGTTGGGTGTATGTATGTGGGTGTGTGTGTATTTGGCCAAAATTCTTACTTACTGTTCAACCGTACCAGAACATTCAAATTCGAAGGAAACGTCGGCGACAGGGTATTTTTACACAGAGAGGAGGTGCGCCCGGCATCAGCCTGGCGATCCGATGAGAATTATAAGAAGGCTGACATGAAGAGCTGCGCTGATGTCAAATTCATTTTTTTTTCAGAGTTTGTTTGTGCTGTTAAATTGTGACGGCAACAGGTAGAGGCGGGAAGATATTTTGTTAGTTCTACTCTCTTCGGATGTTATGATGGGTAGCGTATAAAGTGAATAATCCCTGTGACAAGCTTGAACTAGATTCTTCCATCGAGCGAAGCACCCATGTAGAAAAAAAAGTTGTTAGTCATCCATTGTCGATGGACTCCACTTCTGAGATACTATTATATCTCCGCTTAGAGTTATCTTCAAGGGAGTCCATTTATCGAAGGTCATGAAACGCGCACGGTATTGTGCGCAGCTCAACTGGTATATATATATATATATGCATAAATACACGCACACCACTCCACATCACATCACATAACGCTATATCACACCGGGTAGCAGATATTCTCCCCAAATTCCCACGTTCAGGGTGTTGCACTGTTGCATCTTTTTGAGTCGTCTCACGGCTTCATTCTGCAATCACCGTATGCGATCTGCCTCTGTTCTAATGTACAAGATCCATTTTTTCGTTATCTCCTTAGCTTGTTTGCTTTCTTTTGACAACTTTGTTTCATGTTCAAGTTTTTTCATGTTTTCGTGTTTCGTTAGTAAGTGATCAGTACCAGAAATTCCGTAAGGAAAACATGTTTTTAGAAAATCGAACCAACAAAGACCATTCAATATCATCCAGCCATCCATGGCAAATCTGACTCACATGCGCTCTGAACGAGCGCGACACGCCGTTTTGGAAGAAACTTTCACACCTCATCGTACCACACGTCAAACCAGCACACTTAGCGCGTTATATATAGTAGTATGAGTCCATTGGGCATTTTTTCACTGGTTAAACATCCCTTGATAGACGTACGCTTATGAAAACTGAAGTGGCACGGAGCATGACACGTCATAACATATAAGTTCATCTGTGATGAGAAGCAAATGCGTTCCCTCGTATTGTAAAATGAAATAGGGGGCAATTCAGAGGATGAAAAAGTATTTGCAACTTTCAAAGTCATTTAATTTGGCAATGAAAACGTTGGCATAATACCAGAGTGTATCTGCTGGTGAGAGCGATAATCAGTGAGTAATATCATACTTCGGAGCGCTAGCGACAACGAAACGAAAAGCAAGTTTATTTAATCTGCTTGGAGAGAATAATATTCGCATTGTTGTATTTATCCCCAATACGAGCTGCCCGGAAAGTGATTGAACGGCGACCATCATTTGATGAAAGTATTGAAAAGACAGCTTGCTTCATGTCCTCCTGATATTCGCAGTTACCGAATAGAAATTTGTAAGATCTTTGAAAGCAAATGTTGCTTGTATAACGAGATTCACCATTTTGTTCAGGACTAAACAGAAGTCGCTGTAATTCCTCAGAATAAGGACCATCTGGTTGCATTCTTATGTAATCATCCTTTGAATTACTTTGCATTCTTCCTTGATAGACTTAGGAACAAAAATCAAATGGATATATCTTCATGCTTTTTGTCTGGGAAGATCCTCAAGAAAGCTTAGGGGGTTGTGAGAGATACGGCTAATGCTGCGATTGCTTTTTCAGGCTCATACGAGACCTCCTGATATACAGTAGCGCTCAAAAGTCTTCGGTAAAATGCTTCTTCAGTCATACTTTTCAGTCGTAACTTTTTTCCTACTGGATCTAATCATGCGAAATTTCGATATGTGCAGCATGGGTGTATTGTGAATATTTACCACTATTAACCTGCAATCTGATCATGTTCCAGATATTCCAAAGAGCATGAACTCAAAATCGACTGAAAATACAGTTGATGCCCCTTCTAGAATCTCTTTCCTTTTTGTCATGTCTAAAGTGTATGAGCGGTAATGCCGAACACAATAGATGAGAAAAACGCACATAAGGTGCGAATAAGTGCAGACGTCAACGACTTTAGTTTTAGCAAAATCTGCTGCCGCAGCAAACACCCTGCTCTATCTGTAGATATTGCAGCTTTGCAATAAAGTAGTGTTGGATAGGATGAAATATGCTCTAGTTAAACATATCCAAATTTTGCGCGATTTGGTCTACTAAGAAAAAAATTATGAACAAAAAAGGGTCAAAGCATTTCACCGAAGACTTTTGAGCGCTACTGTAGTTGTGGAGTGTTCATATTTACTTCACAACGGTTGATGCACACGTGTTAGAGCCTGGCAAGCTACACGTGGATAGTCATATGCTAGATACAGTAATAAAATGAACCTTATTTCCCTGACCCTGATTGAGCTCCCACCCAATACGGCAGCGTTGGGTAGGACTGCTCGGAAGAGGCTGCTAAAATCTAAGGGCCACAACTAAGATGGCAATCTGTTATTTCAGCGCAAGGACGCTTGTATCGGAATCGTGTATAGGAGATCTAATGATGCAGCTAGGAAGATCAAGTACGTCGTCATCGGACTGACCGAGACGAGAAGGCAACGCTTGCCGCATGCGATTTTTGAAACTTGAGAACGGTTCCTTGGAATACGCGACAGCAGAGGCGTCGACAGGGTAGGTGTACCTGTTAACACGCACTTGGCCACGAGCAACAATTCGTAGAAAAGCTTGACAACCGGAATCGGACGTTTGCAATTGAGAAGATGTGGCTCAACCTAACTCTAACAATTCTTATTGTTTACGCGCCAACATCGAGCTACCACGACGAACAGCTGGAAGCTTTCTATAATGATCTAGAGAGGCTTCACAGAGAAGACCATACTTTTTTAAGGTGATTTCAACGTCAAGATTGGTCCCAGAAGAACGGTTGAAGAGCTCATATCACGACTCACGAAATGGAATGGAATGAGCAGGGTGAAGGGCTCTGTCTGAGTTTATCATGTCGACCCACACTATCCATGGCATTTCGCAGTTCCAGAAGTCCCTCACTCCTGATGGGCATGGGAGTCACCTGGTAGACAGTTCCATCATGAAATAGATGACATCATCGTCAATAGAAAGTCTTGCCTGACGTCGCTGTCAATCCAAAGTTTTACTCGGGATAAGACCATCGTCTCTTCCGCGCTAGATTCTGTTTCTAAGTCCGTGGAGAGAGAACTGAAGACCAAGAAACGAAGCCTCAAGACTGTTGTCAACTGGGTCACTTCGTTTCGTTAGTGAGTTTATGGGAAGATTCTGCAAGCGATATCGATGAAGAATAGGACCGGCTAGTCGAGAATCTTTACGATAGCGCCAGGCAAAGAGTCTCAAAAATGCCAAGAAGCGCGACTTTTCGAAGGCTGTTAAACTGGTACACTAACGTGGGATCGCGCGATAATGTCCAGCGTACGTCCTGTCGAATTCGAGAAGCTATGCAGAGAAGCGATAAAGGAAAAACTGAAAGAGAGATGAGCAGCAGTTTTGGCTGAGGCTGGGAAGAACATTCTCAAAGCCTAGCCGAAGTATTGTCAATTATAAGGCTAAAGACTATGACTTCTCTTCGTCGTCCTGAAGAAAGTGTTACTGCGTCTCGAAGGGCAATGGAGAAGGTCTGATTTCTTCGACAGCCACGCCTACCTGCCTACCCACCATCTTGGGCAAGACGGACACGTCGTCTCTTTTCTTCTCCCCTCAGAAATTCGACATGCCATCATGACGATGAGGAATGGTACGGCGACATCTAAAGAGCCTTCCGTCATCATAGTCGGAACCCTGGCCCGGCTTTTCATACGAACTGCGGAATGCATGGTGCCAAATTCGTGGAAAATTACCAAGACAGCGTTGCTGTATAGGAAGGTAGATCCAAAAGACATTGGAAATTCACCTGCTATCTGTAATCTATGAACTTTTCACACGAGTCATCCCTAACAGAATTGGCAGAATATCAGATGTGTGATAGCCATGCGAGTGAACAGGGTCCGGAGAGTGTTCAGTACAATCGATCATATCCACACCATTGCAATACTCAATGAAGCATCGCGAAAGTCCGAAATGCCGTTATACCTTTTGTTCATCGATTTGAACAAAAGCCTTTGATACCGTCGAGACAGAAGCGGTAATCGAAGCCCTGGGCTACCAGGGTGTTCCTACTCAATACTTAAGGATGCTTTGTGAGCTCTACAACAACTTCACGACCAGAACCTCGCCATTCTATAAAGAAGTCAACAGGGTTTTGACAGCGCGATCCATCTTGTCCTGAAACTTTCAGTGCGTTCTCGAAAACATCATGCGTCATGTGGAATAGAAAGGCATGGGAGTGAAGGTCAATAGCCGCTACTTACATCATCTCCGCTTTGCAGAAGACATCATACTTGTAACACCGAACATCGAGCAGGCGGACCGAATGCTGGCCGAACTTTACAGTGCTTATCGAAAGGTTGATTCGATAATAAACTTACGATGCACATGAGGAATATATTGGTACCTGCTCCCTATACACTGAACGAAAGTATATTCCTGCATGCTTTGAATACTTGTATCTAGGTCAGGATTTCAACGTTACGAAGGACCTAGCTTCGGAGGTGAGGAAAAGGAAACGGGAGCATTGGGCGTGGGGAGCATTTGAGAACATCGAGGGAGTAGTGAAGAAGACGAAGAATATCCGGCTCCGTGCTGTCCTTTTCGACACTGCGTTCCTTCCTGCTTTGGCACACGCCTCAGAGTCTTGGACTCTACGAAAGCAGGATGTGCATGCAGATGGCGTCATTCAAGCACTGTGGAAAGACGATGCTCGGAATTTCCCTATACACGGAAGTGCAAAAGGGTATCCGGAGTTCCGAGCTCCGTCGAAAATCAGGAATGCTGTCGAATACGCCAAGAAATCGTAAATCAGATGGGTCGGGCACGTCATGCGTTATAGTGATGACTGTTGGACCAGGGCGGTTACTGACCGGAATCCTCGCAACGTCAAACGAACACCAGGACGGCGGCTGACCGGATGGTCAGACTTCCTCACGAAAGCTCTGAACGAAAGGAATGTTTTTTCCCATGCCCCTAAAGCGAGTACTGCTCGGGCTGCTCGCGCTCGCCGCAGGGGCGCGAATGAAGACGTTACTGGCGTCTGCTCGAGGAAGTCCATGATCAACGGCACGACATGTGATACAGTGATACTGTTTGTCTTTATAGTCTGACCTGAACTCCAACTTGTCTTTCCTAATTAGAAGTTAGAAAACGCGTCTTGATAGTTTGACTCGTACATCGGCTGACCACGGAAACTCAATGTAGAGGCCACAATACGCACTCCAAAACGCACCACAAATCTTGATGGAAGCAGAATGCAGCTGATACTTCCCAAAAGCGGCAGGAGTAGATCTCGCACGCTTTATCTTTCATATCCTTCGAATAGAAAATCAATTCCCTTGCAAAGTATCATGTTTTTGTGGCCTAGTATGTTTTTTGGACCTCCTACCCTGTGTCACCGGCCTACGGTATAGTTTTCCTTGCAAACCTGAGTAAAGGATCTAGCGATTCTGTGGAAACTAGGCAGTGGAGTAACTTATTTACCAGTTTAGTCTTTTGATTCCAGATTAGCATCGCTTTTTCTGGTGCATATGTGAAGTTCTTTGATTTTCCAGATGTTTGACATGATTTGCCCAGTGAACGGTACGTCGTTCCAATTATCGGATTTGAAGAAATCACCACTTAGCGTACGCCTACTGAATGCTTTAGTGAATTGGCGCAAGTTCTACACGCAAGAAGTCACAGAAGGTGTCACTGAAATGCTACTGTTTCGCTTTTTGATTCCCATTAGATGTACTCATTTGAGAGTCAGTTGGTCGGCTCTACGCTTGTTGGTAAGATTCCAGGTTCTGAGCGAGTTCTAGACGAGATGGGCAGAGAATTGTCGGATTGGGAACGTTTCTGCTCGGAAGAGTATGAGACGATGATGGAGAACGAAGAAGAAGTTGATGAAAATTTGTAAGTGTAATTTCAACTGTAAGTCCAATCTTAGTTATCAGAAAGTATTAAAACATTGACCAGATTTCTTCTTGCTTTTATACCCATAGCAAGCTGGATGATTCCTTTCGGGCTGTTTGCGAAAGAAAAATCTGCGCATGTAGACCAAATAAAAGTATGCACTGGTTCCTAGAATGAGCTTCGCTCCTCTGGCTTTGATTTCGTTTGTGATTGGTGCCATGTACTCGTACCTCCACTATAGATATCTACAGGGTGCACCATCAATATGGTAACAAAATAATTGTGTGCAGAAACTGCAATATACATTGGTACATGGTAAATTATAACAACTATTTACTATGCATCGCACCTACAAAACGAACACATGGTCATCTTATTTAATCTTTTTTGCGCTAATTATAGCTGGAAAACGCTTCCGCTACTCATCGACGGTGCCACACAGTTTCTTTGAAAAAACTCCAGCCCGGGCTTTTCCTATCATTTCTTAGTAGCAACAACAGTGGTGCGTTATGAAGCGCAGGCTTCCCTCTCCAGTATGGACTATATCCAGCGGCTCGTCAAATGGTGGCCCGGTAAATTCGTAGGAGGATTGGAAGCGGGGGGACGGTCAAGTCGTGCGTCCGAGGGCGCGCGCGGCACATTGCGCCGCGAAGTTCGTGGCGAATTTGGACGATTGCGGCGTTTATCACTGTAGCCCAAACTTGAGTTAAAGTAGATCAGTAAGATTAACTGATCCCGATAATCTTCTTTGCTTTAAAATCCGGCCACAACGATAGGCGCTAAAGTCGTTCTTATCACCATGAACTTCGCCGCGCAATTTGCCGCGCGCATCCTCGGACGCACGACTTGACACACACCCTTGGAAGCTGGGCTGGGATAAAGCGCGAACGTTTCCTCCGCACCAGTTTTGATCTTTTCCCATTCGTGAGCAAGTGCGCCATTGTTTTCAAATCGTGTCCTTACAAAAATCTTTGACCCTCAGTTGCATCCTTTCAGAAAAACCCTTTTTACAGAGGTTCGGACTAAGCTTTGTACTTTTCTCGAACAAAATTTGCGATATCGCTCTTGTGGTAGAGATTCTAGCCCAAACCATCAGGAACGAGGGAAGATGGCTATGAGAGGCGATCTGACTCTTCTCGGCGGCTTCAGCACTCGTAGTGTGAATTATACGTATACTCTGGGATGTCAACATTTCTCCCACGCTGAACACCCTTTGGTCAGAAGAAAAGTCTGTCGAAGCGCGTGCCGCGCGCAAGTAGCACTCGGTACTTGTTTTTTCTTTCCAATTTCTTCTCTTCAAGAAACTTATAAGGCCTTCGAATCCGATCGGGATATAGTTGTACTCACAAGGGAAGGATACTTGGTCGCAGTGGCCATTCAAGATGAGATGTATATGCCCGTAGGTGGTTTCAAACGCTGATCCCAAATCTGTGTTCCAAATCTGCGGAACGATTGTGGGAACAAAGTTACGGCACCGGGACCTCCCTGTGTATTACCACTGCGCTGAACGGATCACCGAGCCGAGCAAAGCCTTTACCTGTGCAACGGTGGCCTAGGGGATAGTGTGGTCAGCTGAAAGGCATGACATCAAGGTTCGGTTCCTTGATGCATGGGCTCATTTGCTTTTCCATAAAATGCGTCCTATACGCTTGCAAAACGTTTTTGGGCTAAATGTTGGGCATCTACAAGGCTCCCTCACAAATAAGAAACACTGGAGAGGTATTGCAAGGCAAGTTTCTTTTTTTACCTCTCACGGGCCGGATGAGGGTGGAGCTCCTCCATTCGGGCAAAAAAGGAATTCTGAATACTTCCTTAAAATGAGCCCCAAAGGCTTTAGGGAGGAAGATTTCAAATGATTCATCGGATTAAACGCTCTCCAACACGTTACCAGCGAAACTTCTGAACGGATGTGGAGTCATCATATTTGATGGGGAATTTCGTTATTGTAGCATGAAGTAGACACCAACACTATCCAAGAGGCTGTAATGAAGTGGTTTCGAACCGTACTTCTCGATACTATGAAAACAAGCCCTACATCCTTTGCGAAGAAGTCGAATTCGTGAAAGACGATCATCTCCCAATGGTGCTCTCCGGTCGCCTGATGAGGACAGTGACGATGGACCCGTAGCTTCGCAAATGAAACTTCCTGTTTGTGGGGATATAGAGGCTCCGAGGTGAAATGTAGCCCAGCAAAACAAGCCTATCCGTCAAGGGTTCGAACCTTGATGTCATGCCTAACAGTCCACCCCACTATCCCCTAGGCCACCGCTGCACACGTAAGTGCTTTGCTCGGCTCGGTGATCCGTTCAGCGCAGTGGTATAACACAGGGAGGCTCCGGTCCCGTAACTTTCTTCCCAGAATCGTTTCGCAGATTTGGAACACAGATTTGAGATCAGCGTTCGAAAACACCTACGGGCATATACATCTCACCTTGAATGGCCACTGCGACCAAGTATCCTTCCCTTGTCAGTCGGAGTAGACTCTCCTCATCGAAGTAGTACATACAAACAAATCCGCGGTCATTTTTTCGCGTTTCCAGGTTTCGCAAAGGAAATTACGGACGTCCCAAAAGTTGTTACCATGTTCATGGCGCACCCTGTAATATTTGACGGAATGAAAGAGCACAACTTTCCTCGAATTTCATTATTCTGCTTGGAGTATTAGAAATTTGCTGCTATAAAGGAAAAAGGATAAATTTTTGGAGAGTTATTCGATCCTGCCCCAAGACTGTCGCGTTTGAGGGATGCATTCACGCATTCGACTTCCATTTAGAATCGTGGCAGCGGACTGAGTGCATATGTGGCCTATACAATGATTTGTGGTGGCCAGCTGATGTACAAGTCAGTGCTTTTATGTTTCCAGGCAAGTCTGGTATAACTAACCATCCCCAGAGGGCATGGGAGGCCTGAATGCCTGGGCGGATAGTAATCCGGGACTGGAACCCGCGAACATGCGTGTGTGAAGTGCGCCACTGGCCGCTACATCACTACCACCTTCTGCTGCTGTACAAACTAATAACAAGGTTTGTATTTATAATGAAGATGTAGGATTATGTGCTTGGTTAATCAGTAACAGAATTTTCCGAGCGGATCAAAACACTGAACGGTACTGTACATTGGCTGCCGACTGCAACTCGTTTTATCGGCCTTAATACGCCATCACAATCTGAATAGAAATCGATTGCAGGGGCGCATCACAATATGGAGTTAATTGACGCTAAAATTTCATTCTTCATTCTTTTAATATTTAATTAGAAGACACTCCAAAGTGTGCCAACGAAGCAGTAAATCATTCGACATAAAAGTCAAGCATCAATGAAACACTGTATTGCACTACAGGAGATAGTGCATATTCGGATGTTAAAAGCGACTGTAAGTACTGATCATTGTTAGGGGAGCCACAATCTAAGTCACTGATTCGATTTTGGCAACTAGACACACCAGCTGGCTAGAATTCTCAGTGAAGTGAAAGCGCCAAGGCCATATCTGCTGAACTGTCCTTTTTCGAATAAAAGTCTAGTATCATACCCACGATGATGTCCTTATTTTAACAAAGTTATAGTATCACATCAGTATTTCAGAACACGGTTATACCAACTCCCATGTTAACTGGCGTGAGTATGGATGAGCGTATAGGTGAATTATCATAATTCAGCTGATCCTAGACAGTTTCCCGCACTAGTTAGTGGTACAATACCCACCCTAATTATTCAAAAAATGTAAAAAACGCGAGTTCGCGCCTATCTTGTCTTTTCTCTATAACTAGGTGAGTTTTCACTTTTTTCATACGTAGTTTCACATAGTTCGAAATCTATGAAGTGGCAGATATTTGGAAACGTTCAATTTGTAAGGTTTACAAAGTTTTTAGGGGCGCGTCAGTAGTAGCGGTGCTCGCTATCATTATAACTAGAAGGCATTTCCTACGATTGAAAGTATTCAGTGGGTCATGGAGCAGCCTACATATTTCAAAACCGAACAAAAAGTACACTTTTGCATATCTCATGTTTTCCTGATCATTTCGGCAGTAATTTTCTCTGGAACGGACGAGCCTAGTCATGCGCCATTAATAAACAGCAAAAGTTTTCAAACCAAACAATGAGAAAAATGGGTTGAAATGAAAAGAGCAATTTTATGATTTAAATCGGGGTTTGCTTCGTATTTTCTTTGAGAGCACGTTTCCCTGCTGGTTCAAGTCGGATTTTTGATGTTCGGGAGGGAGCCAGATTTTTCTTCGAAGATAATCATACTAAACTCTTTGTGAGCAATCACGGATATGAGAAGTAGTTACTCGTCTAGATCCTCGGGCTCTACCCAATCAGCTCGGGGCCCGATGCAACATATTGAATGATTGTTAGAAATTTGCACTCGCACCAATCGAATGCGCTCGACTCCTAAATGCAACTAATTCCATAATAGATCACTTTGCAGAACAAGATGTTTCGTTTCTACCGGGGTTGAGTCATACTTTGACATTTCATCTTGTGGGTTGATAGTCGTATTCCACTTTGGATCTGTTGAATTCTCACGTTAGACTTTTCTGTGAGTCGATTAATTTCCACGAAGCGGCTTACAGCACCACGAACTGATTTCAGGTATCGTATCTCGACCTCAGCGGTTCCTATAGTAATTGCCNGGCAATTACTATAGGAACCGCTGAGGTCGAGATACGATACCTGAAATCAGTTCGTGGTGCTGTAAGCCGCTTCGTGGAAAACAAGTGCAAATTTCCAAGAATCTTCTATTATTTATTTATGTACTTATTTATTTATTTATGGCCTAGCTAATAATAGTGCCTCATTTATAAACTGTTTCACAACCTACACAGTAAAATGCAGCCGCTGTCCTCTTTTATGAATGGGCTTGAAAATGATGCAATCGATCAGTGCTGTAAGGTTTTTGCTGTGAACAAGAGATCACTCACAGGCACTACAACGAGTCTGTATTATGTGGGGAGGGGGTGTTAACGAAAACTCACAATCCTTTCTTAAATGTTATATATAAATG